AAAAAAAAAAACTTACCATCAGGGAAGGTGGTCTTGACTACGCATCCAGCAGCAATTTCATGGCCTTGGACAATCTCAACGCTCTTTATTAAATTTTTGAATTTGGGCAAAACCTCTTGGGACTCAGTGATCAAAGCCTTGAACAGCCTTGATGGTGAAACCATGGTTTCCAGCTCCTGCGACTTCTTCGTGCCCATTCTGAGACAACAGGAAAAATAGAATATTTATTGTAATGCAAGAAACAAATATTTAGATATTGATGGAAAAAAAAAAAAGGAACACCAATTTAAGATGAGATATGGAAATTTATGTGGAAAATTAAGGGCTTAATTTATACGCACTTTAGTCTTTGGAAGTTTGGAATGGAATTTATTATGGGTTTAATTGTAAAATATAGTCAGTATCTTATACGCGGTGGAAATAGTAGCCACCGTCTTTACGAATTGGCAATATTAATCAACAACTTTCAAAATTTTGAGGTTATTACCCATGTCTGACCAAATTCGATGGCTATTGTTGCCACTACGTAAAAAGATACTATCTACAATTTGCAATTTATCTGTCGAATTTAGTTAGATTTGGGTAATGATCTCGAAATTTTGAAAGTTGTTGGCTAATATTGCCAATTCGTAAAGATGATGGTTATTATTGTCACCTCGTACAAGATACTGATTATATTTTACAATTTATCCTTTTTTATGTTCACTTTTACTTCAATTGTTTTAAGTCTAAACTTGGTCCAACCACTTTTCTATGTTCCCTTGATTACTATAGGTTAGTTGGCGATATAATTAAAGTCTTACAAGGTTATTTTTGTTTATTCATGTTAGGTAAATAAAGTCAGTCATGCAAATCACGCTAGACAAGACTATTCATGGGATTACTAGGCTAGGTAGGAATAAAATGCCGGTTATTCACCGGTACCTATTAATATAATATAGTTCCAACTATAATATAGTTCCAACTCGTCACATGTAATAATCTTTGAAAATTTTAATCCACTCACTAGCGAGTATGCCATACTAATTTCGTTCTCACCGCATGAGATGGTGGACGCGCACTGTATGAGTGAGCATGGGTCGCTGCAGCGGAGATTGATAAATTTCCAAAATCATACCGAAATTTGGAGATTATTATAATTTAATTTCCGGAATCGTACGAAAAAGTCGGTTCAGTATTCGGGACTATCAGAGCGATTCGGTTCGGATATTCGAAGATTTCTAATAATTTTTTTTGTTTTGAATGACCACTTAGTTATATTTTATTTTTTATATGTTTTTTTTTAATCCAACATTCATCAATACTTCATCATACTAAAAGTAATCTCTTCGATCGAGTAACAAGTTCTACGACCGAATAGAGCGTATCGACTTAAAGATTTGCACAAGTTATATCTTTCGTCAATACTTTTTGGAAAATCATTAGATATTAATATGTTAGAGACCTGTGACTGGATTGATGAAATAGTATCTCTCCCCCCAAAAATTATTTTTAAATCAACTTTGGAAGTAACTTTAAATTTTAGCTAAGATTAATTGTGCAACTAACATTGAAAATTTCAAATTAAAACAAAATATAATACAGTTTTTTATTAAAGTAATATTTCTTTAATCTTCCATATCATCATGTTAGTTATAAGAAGACTAAGTATAGACAAATTTAAGTAAAGTTTAAATATATATGTTTTTAAATATTACTTTAACCTTTTATTTCATTTTAATTTTTTTTTAAACATGAAAACTCAATTGTAGATCAAGTATTACTAAGCATGAAATTTAAGTGAAGCTTAATTGTTATTACTATACTAGTATTTGACCATGTTCATTTGCACAGATATAAATAAAGTATTATAAGTTATTTGTATGCATATATATTAAAATTATAAGTTGGATAATGATATTAAATTTCAAACACGGAGTATTATATATATATATATATATTGAAGTGAATAAGTTTCACCCGGCTCCTTCAACTCGAACGGTCTACGCACCTGCAGAACCCAACGCCGGGGGTGGCCCCGGCGTCGGGCCTCCGATGCTTAAGTCAGTGCTCAGATCAAGAGAGAGAAAGTGTAATAATGAAATTAGGAGAAAATGAGGTACCTTGCCCCCCTTTTATAGGGGGAGTGTACCTTTTGGGCCCAAGTTGGGCTTGACCCCTGTCGTTGGGCTTTAGATGTCTTAGTGGGCTTATCCTCTAATATGTATCCGTTTTATCCATTAAACCGGGTCCAGTATAATATCCTATATCATCTAGTCCCCCCACTCTGGTCGAGTAAGCATAACTCGATCCAAGAGTGAAATGCCTCT